CTCAAACCGTTGCCTTGGGAGGGATATTAATCTTACAAGCGTGGCTAGAACCACTTGGGCGAAGGCCAATCCTTCTTAAGATTGTTTTTGTCAATATGATAAAAAATAATTTGCATTATTGCTGCCTCCTTCTGATTGTTATTAATTGATTTCTTTTTTTTTTTTTTTCATTCTTATCAATAATTGTTGTTAATTGTTAATACTAGAAAAATGAAAAAGATGTGGTAATGATGAGATGGTAAGAATTTTTACCTCACTTTGACCATTTCATCCTTGCTGTCATGCTCCTATTTTGCTGGTTTATCCAATAATCATATTTTCAGCCTAATATTAGATCCTTTTCTTTACATGCCAGATTGACAAAATGATTAAAAAAAAAAAAATTGCTTCTAACCAAAGTTTTATACACCATCGTTTTTTCCCCTTACCAATACCAACAGAAAACAATTGAAATAATTGAAAAGAACCCACAATGCATTGATGCAAAACCAAATGAACATGCTGGAACTAAAAATTTCAGGCAGTTCTTCTAGGTTGCCCTCTCTCTTCTTCTACCTGCAGTCTTTAAAAGTACCTCCTTGAGATAGTCGTAATGACTACGGTGGTAATCGATCCACAAACAGAGCTGCCTTATGGCCTCCCTCTTCTCCTCTCCAAGACCCAGAATACCCTCATCCTTCTCCTTCATCATTGCTTCCAACAACTCCACCTTCTTGTCCAGGTCCTTAACGGCTTTCATCAGATTCCCCTTTTCTCTTTCTTCCTTGCTTGCCTTCACCTGTAGTCCCTCAACTCTCTCTCTTAACACACATTCCTGTTCCTTCGTGTCTTGTAATTTTTCAACCAAACTACTCACCTTCTTCTTTAGCAGCTGGTTTTCACTCTTTATCTCTACAACCCAAGTCTTTGCAACCCTTAGTATTTCTGATGTTTCCAGAATAAAACTCTCATGGTTCCTGTAATCTTCTTCATATTTCTGTACTACAACTTCAAATCCTGTCAAGGTGCTGTTCACCGTTGCTGAGATATCTGTAATCATCCTGTGATGAGCTTCATTGTTTCTGGCAATGATTCCAGACAACGTTTCAACCCTTTCTTCAAGCCTTCTTTGCTCTTCCTGGAACTTTGCTTCTGCGATTCTAAAGCTCTCTTCCTTTTCAGAAAGTAACTGTTCTGTGACCCGGAGCTTCTGGTTTGACAAGCGCAGCTTAACTTCAATGTTGCGGACGTTCTCAACCAAGGAGCTGATTTCTTCTCCACTCATTTCCAAGTCTCTTTTCATGTCTTCAACAGTCTGCTCCAGTTCAGCCACCAGCTGATCCTTCGATTGCAGGTTCTTTTCATGACCTTCAGCCAAATCCTGGATCTTCCTTTCCTTGACTTCGAGACTTGCCTTGGTGTCCTGAAATGAAACTTCAAGCTGTTTATACTCCTCATCTATGTTGTTAAACGCATCCTCTTGCTCTTTCAGGATTCTCTGTTGCTCTGCAATCTGGCTTATCAACTCAACTTTCTCACCACCATTTGCTTCCAAATCTCTTTGAAGATCCTCAACCATCTGCTTCATATCAGTTACCATTTGATCTTTAGATTCAATGTTTTTATGGAATTCTTCTGCCATTTCTTCCATCTTCCTTTCTGAGACATCAAGAGTAGCTTTGCACTCTTGAAACAGACTTTCTATCTGCTTGTGTTCCTCTGTTAGCTTGTTGTATGCATCACCTTGTTCATTTAACATTATTTGCTGGGCAGTGATTTGGCTCTGTAGCTCAGAATTCTGGTTCTCCAATAGTGTCAGGCTTTCTGAAGCTTCTTGATTTTCTCTCTCAATCTGCAACTCCAATTGGTTCCTTTGAGTCTGTAAGGAATCCAACTCCTCTTGCAAAATTTTCACCTGATCCAGTAGGACAGTTATTTGAGAAGAAGCTTCATTCTCTGCAATGGTGTGTTTTTCCTGTAGAGCAGAGAATTCAAGCCCTCTTTCTGCCGCAGCTTTCTCTAATTCAGAAATTTTCTCATGTAAACCAACAATTTCCTCTCTAAACTGATTGCTCTCTTCAATTCTAGTTCTTATCTGCTCGTCCAGTTCACTTTTTTGGTTGTGAACAATGGAGTGTTTTTCCTCTAGAGCAGAGAATTCAAGCCCTCTTTCCGCCCCAGCTTTCTCTAACT